ACACACACACACACAGATCCTGTCAACCTAACGTATGTGTCACAAGAGGAACAAGGTGGTACTACAAAGCTTAAAATGCTACTTATTAGTGAGCATAATGCACTGAAATATTTATGTTTTTTTACTTTCACTTTATAGGAAAAGATAAATTACTGTGTCTGATGTGTTTGGAGTCACCGACTTTGCTTCACCTTTACCTTCTTTAAAGCAATGTAATTACTGTTTTCTGTGAAACTGAAAGTAAGACAAAAAGGAAGTGACAGGGGGTTAACACTGGTATCAGGACTGAAACAGTAACACAGTATTGTGTGTGCATACTTGTTTTAATCAGTAACTACACCCGCTTGCAGAGAAGAACTGATACTGATGGTTCAGTGGACGCAGCTGTTGAATGTTCGGGGATCTCCTGTACTGTGTATGCACATAACAAACGACAAAGCAGTACAAAGAAATAACTACTTTCCACTATATATAACAAAACACTTTTAATCCCCATATATATATTACTAACAATATCATTTATTTTAAGAAATTATATTATTATTACAATGTTCATTAAATTAGGATCTTTCAAATCTGGACCCTCTAAACAAGTATTTACAAATTTCACAGTGAATCTGGTACATTTGGTTACTATATCAAGAAAAGAAGCATCTTCAAAACCCTGTTAATAATCATTTTCTGGAAATAAACTCTGAAAGGAACAAAAGGAATCACGCAGTCATAAGAGAAGTAAAAAAAAAAAAAGAAAAAGAGGGGAATGTGTTCATGAGACTAAGGCATGGAACAGATAATGGAAGTTTAACCCCCCCAAAAAAATCTGGGCTATGACATTTCCATCAACAGTGCAACACTAACACAGCTAAGTCCGTGGGTCTTACAGATAGAATGTGTAATAGTGTGCCGATAATCAAAGGTAAGTTCCTTCTTATCAGAGCACTCTACCTACTAATTCCACTTGCAAGCCCCGGTAAGCGTCTATGTAATGGCATCCAAACAGAGAGAGAAGTGCGAGACGCTTCACTTTCCTGACTGAAGTTTTGACGCCCTCTCCTCTTTCCTGCGTATATCTTTTGTAGAGAGAGCTGTTCTGGGAGGGAAATCTGAATAAAAAGGCTTGGGGGTGAGAGATGTAAAATGACCTTTTTTTTTTGTCCAAAGAAGAAGCGTAAACCGCTAAAAAGTCTCACGAGGACAGGAATGTCAGGAGGACAACGAGGACGTGTGGGACGGGAAATCAGTTTGACGACCGCGGCGAGAGCTCAGATCAGTCCTGTCGCTGAGGCACGCAGCCTTCGATCTCCAACACTTCGGGCCATCCCTCAAACTTGTTGGTGTCTGCGTTGTTCTTTATATGCTGAGGAGGGAAACACAAGATAACACACTATGAAAACAGCCTGCACTGTCTTTATAATCCAATCATCACAGTGGTCCGGTCAGATAAGCGTAAGCGGCAGCGTGCTACATTCGTGTGAACTGACGGATGGGGGAATGACCGCATTATACTGCCCAACAACGTGAACAGGGTTGGGCTGTCAAACGTTCTGATAAGCACACACAGTCAACCGCCAAACACTTGTGAGTCACACCTTTTATATCTTGAAGATTCACACTTTCAGGAACACTGAACTAAAAGGCTAAGATAACCCTTGCTTTTAACACCGACACAGCAACCCTGCCATGTTTCAACACCGGGCTGATTTCTGTCTGAATGCCCCCAAAGACCCGAGGACAATTGGCGTGTCATATGTCTTTTAACTGGAAGCTCAACAGTTCATTCATTCAGTTCAAACCCCCCAAACAGGTTAGATGCAAATCTGCATGAAAAACCCGACATTTAAGCTGCCTGGGGACATGTGATGGGGAGCTGGGTGACATTTGGAGTAGTATTTGCTGGTAAATTTTAATAGTCTCATTCGATGTAAGGCTAATTTTGGAATGAAATTTCTCAAATATAAATATCTGTTACCTGCTCAAATGGACTCTTGGTCTTGATGCCTTTCCCTCCTACAAAGACCCAGTTATCCCGGAAGCCCACATTACTGATAGCCGAGCTGCCCAGATCAGCAATTAGCTTCCTGGCTTCATCATTAAGTCTGTAGACCAAAGAAGAGCGATGTTATTTCATGGCCACACGTGCAGCGACACAACCAACATTAGAGATAACCAAAGCAATTTACATTAATCATGTCAATCGAAATTGTATCAGCGGGCGATGGGGATATTGAGGGAAAAAGTCCTTACTTTGTTGCGGGATCATCAAACGATGCCATCATCACGACTGTCCCTTCATCAATTTCCTTCAAGAATTTAATGAAGGGAGCCACATCTGCACAAGGTTACACACAGGTTAATGCAATGTCCAAATGTCCACAACAAAAAGGTTCTGAAACCCTACTCACCTCCTGCCCACATATCAAAAAAGTCTGTCTTCATAAGTTCTCCTGTTCTCCCTGTGGGGGGGAGAAAGATTCCAGTTTAGATCAATGTATAGTTTTTATTACCATAATAGTTCATGAGAATGATAATTAATGTATTGTGGTAGTGGTTCTGGGTGGTCAAACCTTCTGATATGAACTGACGTTATTAACAGGCAATACAAAATGTGATACTACAACCAAATTATTCTGCCATGGAAAGGCTTGTGGTTTCCTGCTTTACCGGCTCTATTCATCGTAGCACTTCTAGTGTAACGCTGCTGCAGTATTATAATCACTATCCCTATAGTATCACTATAGTGCTGAGCAAATTGACTTAAAGGTGTGGAAGTATCGTTACCGTTGACCAAAGCAATGTTGATTCCTCTCCCCACGTTGTTCTTCACACTGCTCATCAGTCTAAAACAAAGAGAAGGAGACAATTAGGATTGGACTGTAATGTTTTAGCTTTTTTTTTTAGCACAATACAACCCACTATAAAAAGGTAGTTGTAAGCAGATATAAGAGTTAATTAATGTACTTTTTAACAACTATTAACTCCTCCTATAAGTAGAGGCTGGTGCAGAAACAGATAATGAATGAGCAATGATGGTAAAGCACGAGTATTTAATAAAAATATGTCTTCTTAGGTATGTGTATAATTTGACTAATGCCATAGATAACAAAGACTTTAAAATGTCCTTATAGCTGCATACAACCACATCGTAGTGTGTTAGCAGTTCCTGGACTTATCTATATTCATCACACCTTCATCAAACATTATGAGAGCCAAGACTTTTTAGTTGACACATAATAAAGACTTAGGAGATACAGTTTGACTGCAATCCCCAATGTTCCATTCATAATCATATAAAACAGATATATTGTTCGTAGTGAGTTATTCTACATCTATATAATATGAATTAACTTGAAACCGAGCGCCATCTGAGGTGTTCTTCTGACGAGAGCAAATAATAGCTTCCACGCTCCGAATGACTGGGTAGACACGCTGTGTTCAAATAACACGTTTGTGTCGTAAAATCCAAAGATCACATCCCTGTAACCAAAAAGAAAAAGTAACATTTCTTGTTCCAAAACTTTCAACATGTCACCTCACTTACAATTTGTCCTCCAGGCAGATTCTGGGCCCCACCACACTCGCCGCTCCACTCGCCATCTTGAAGGCAAAGTGTCCAAGAGGACATGACTTGGACAGCCCACACTTGTACCTAACTGGTTTTGTTGCTGTAAATAGAAAAAACTCCATTCACATACCAGGTTGACAGGTAACAATATCAGGTATCAAGCGCTGGTCCAACCACATTAGCCTGTACGCAAACAGGTGCAGACACGGAACAAAACAAACTAAAGCGCTAAAGCATTTAACACTAAGCTAAACACACAACTTGTACAGTGTAGTGCTAAAGATGCATACTGTGTGTGTGACAAATGCTTATTGTTACCATTCGCGTGGCAACTGGTATAAAGAGATTAAAAAAAAGAAAGAAAGGAGGATCATCTATTAGAAACAGATCGACAACAAAGCCACAAAAAGATGAAATCATAACAGTTTACTCATACTTACAGCCTTCATTCGTTGGCAGAGATCGTGCTGAAAACGAGAAAGAACGGAGACTTTTAGTGGTCAACTAGATGGTGGGCATTAAAAAGCAGCTCTGTGGGAAAAAAAAAAACCCTTTGTGTGGACAAAACATAACAATGAGCAACACTATTTGGGGTCTGTAACGTGAACACACCCTCCAGGCCACAGGATGTACTATAATTACAACACATCCTCCACACAATACCTGAATAAATGTGTCGTGCTCCCTTTATAAATGATCATTTCCCACATTATTTGTACAGCGGCTCAGGGACAAAATATCTGGGGCTGGGGAGGAAGTAATGAACAGTTAGTTTGTAGTAGTTAATTGATACCTACTCATCTTAAAATCCATGTTAATGTCTAGCAGTTGAAAAGCCAAAAAGACAGCTAGGAGGAATGCAATGATGATTGCTGCCAACTTCAAAACACCTGAAAAAGAGATATAAAGCATATACAACTCACTGTAGTCATTAATAATCATCATTTAAGGCTATTTTTTTAACATTTTTACATACTTATTGTGTGCATAAGCTTATATATGCTGTATAGCTTCAAGAGCAATGCACTTACCGCCAGCCCTGACCATCATAGCGAGCCTCCAACCACGTTTTCCACAGCTAACAACCTGCAAGGGATAAAACACTTTCAGTTTTAATTATTCAGCTGTGTGGTCAATAACAGCTAATATATTATAGGCTATATTATTATAACTTTAGCTGACGATGGCTGCTAATAGTACAGACACACAGCTAATACCACAGAAAGTTCCTCGGGTGTTTTATTGTCACTTTAGCATGCTGAATGCATTATCTTTTACTCACAAAGCGTTAGTTGACTCTCCGACACTGATCTCGATGAGCTAACGTTAACTAGCTTCAACTCTGTAGCATTTAAGTGCTAAAATGCGTCTGCTGTGTAACTTCCTCGTTTTCTGACACCGAGATAGGGCGGTAAAAAAAAAATATAATGAATGCAGGTAACGTTAAACCTACCGTTACGCTTTAGGTTGTGCGTTGCTTACCTGTTCAATCGCCACGGTAACCACAAATCCCGGTGAGCTTTGCGATAACTCAAAACGATGAGTAGTTATTCGTGTACTACTGACAGCTGAGATCGTCAATAGAGGAGGAGAGTGGTAAGAGGCGCCACTCTGTCCGAGAAATCAAAGACCAACTAACGGGCAGAGACGAAGGCGCTTTTAAAAATAACAAAAAACACATATTTATTTTCGGCCTGAATCTAACCAGCAAATTATATATATATATATATATTTAAAAAAATAATGAAATATCAAGTTCATAAAGACCAGCTCATTAATAAAATTATTATAAAGGAAAAAAATTAAAGAAAACAACACTTCCTGTTTATTTTTTTCATCTGTGTATGAAATACATCACCAATACAATCATTAACAATAAATTATACAATAATCCCATATTTTAGATTTCTAAATGTAAAATTCTCATTAATGCTTTCCGAATGAAGCCAACTATAAATAATTATAAAATATACAACTATAAAAAAATAGTCTAATATATATCTAATGGGATGATATATATCTAGAATTTAAAAGTGAATTTCTTTGCATTTAGAATATGGGAAATAATATTTGGTTCTTAAAGAAATTATCCCTTTACGTGCAAAAGCCCGTTAAAAGTATTTCGACATGACATGTTTGACTAATTTATATGCAGAATAGTAGCAGCACGAGTAAGACATCCTGTTAATAGCCTATCTTTGTTTCCGTCAAACCAACTTCCTCTTTATTCTTCCTTCTCTGTTCACTTTGAAACCGATGTGAGTCCTTACAGCGCCGCCACAGTGTCCACTGAGGGACAACAGCTTGGGAAGGTTTTGCATTTAACCGGATCATGGCATACTTTAATCTACAACATACACAGTATAAAGAGCACATAATGACATGATGTATTTTCTTTTTACAAATGCACATTTCAGGATTGTTTTTTTTCACATTGAACAGAAAGTAAAAAGGCGGTGCAACACAGAGTACAATCAAAATAAAAATACTGTACAAATCAAAGAGTAATTAAAATAAAGAAATGAAATGAAGTGAGCTCAATAAATTAAGATATTTTCATGCTTGTCATCAAAAATCTTCAGAACCTGCCACGAAGTGTGCTCCCGTCGAAACATCAGGGATAAGTCCAGCAAAATGCGGTTGGCAGTCTTTTTCAGCACAGCTGCTTTAAATCCATTATTTATTACATTCATTAATGTGTTATGTGCATAGACTGTGTCATTCAATAAGCTCCTGTCCAAAAAGAGAAAAAAGGGTGTCAGTGTACATGAAAAAAAAAATCACACCTTAAAGATTTTATAGGCAAAAAAATTAAAAATAAAACAGTGCTAAATAACTCTTACATCATCTGAGTCTTGCTGGCAGGCTGCACCATTGCTGCTGGTGGCGCTTTCGAGGTCGGCCGTTATGCCATTATCATCATCCTGAATCCGGAGGTTGGAGAAACGGTACACTGGTGTCCTGTAGAGGGCGACATGGAACCACAGTGGTTAGCTACTATTGGATGCATGAAGATGTGCATGCAGCACAGATGTGTGTCTGGCCCACCTGTTTCTGTACACCACCCTCTTGACAGCAAAGACGGAGGAAACGATGGCTACCAGGACGATGACTCCTGCTCCTGCGCACACCAGGATCAACACCAACCTCTCTCGCTGGGAAATACATGAAGTAGTTGTTATATTCCTAAAAGCTGCACAAGAACATTTGAAGGTACTAACTGATGAGGGCAACAAATCTACTGACCGGTGTGTCGAAGTGTGTGACTGGAGACGAGGACCTGGCAGGTGGCCCGGGGCTGGTTTTAACACCACAGGGTCTGATGACCGTCTGCACTGCGAGCTGAGGACTGAATCCCCCCTCACACCTGTCACTCGGGACCTTACGGTACCTGCGAACATAGGAGTGTGTGAGTAAATACTTACGGGAGGTGTGTCTTTTCATTCTAAAAAAAAAGGAGTGACTAATATTACCCAGCTGTCAGAAGCTCATCCTCCTCTCCATTCAGACAGAGTTCCAAGGTTTTGTTTGCAGAGCTGGATTGTCTCACACAGTCTGAGGTGTTCACATGACGATAGTAACCGTAGTCGCTGTTGAAAAGGACAGGTTAGGGTTACAGCTTCACAAGGGAATATCCTCTTGGTTGTTGGAGCCAAAACATGTTTGAATTCTGATAAAACTGTTTTAGTTATATATATCTAAAAGTCTACGTCCATAGAACATGCCACAAACAAATTGATGTACCATAGGTAATCTTCTCTGGTGCACAGGCATGGGCTTTGCCTCTTGCTCACTACAAAGCCTGGACCATTTCTGCACACAGATTGTTTCTTCAGCCTCCTGTAAGTCTCTTTGACACCCAAGACACAGCCGTCTCTCTCCGTGTCCGATTCATCTGTAGAATGAGCCAACCACTCTTCATAGTCATGGGCATTACCTGATGAATTAGATGATGACAAATCAGAATGCAACCGGGAAACAACATCTAGTGTGTATAATGCACATTTTTCATTACAAGAATATACCAAAATGTAACAACAAAGTGTAGCCAGTGTCCCCAAACACTAGATAAATGTGATCCCTGCTCCAGTTATGATACCATATCCATTTCAGTTATTGCTATCTGTGCTGTCATTCAAATTGGTTAAATGCATGTGCTGTCACATCTAGATTAATACTACAAATACAAAATAAAAAACTTTTACTTGTAAAAATCTGTAATGACAACCACAGTGTCCACATAACAAAATTGAGCTGAAAAAAATATTAAAGCCCCTAAAATACTGGCTTGAAATCTTATGTATTGCTCTATAACATTAAATATTCATGACTAAAAAGCAACAAATAAAGTAAAAAACTATTTCATAAGAATTTAAGAGTCAAAAACTCAGCTAACCCACCAACTGTCATCAAATTCTGATTCAAATGTTGCTAAATTCAGATTTCTCTAGTCCCACCCTTGTGAAAAAGAATAAAATATAAAATGAACTCTCATATATGAGATAACCAAAACAGTTCCAACTAAATTGTAGGATCCCATAACTCAAGGCCTTTACAAAAAAATCAAGGACCACAACACAAGCAGAAGAATAAACAGCAACATATGGAATTGTTGGTGCACTGGACACCTTTTTGGCCAACTGTCTTATGTTTGTAAGCATTCAGGTTTGTAAAATGAAATGAAAAAAGAGGAACAAAAGGATGATCATAAATTCTTAGAAATTATGGAAAGTCCCAGGTCATTGCCAAGTATCTGTAATAGGAAACTGCTGTAAGGCGGCACCTCACTGAAAACAACTTGATGCACCAGGTGGTAACATGCCACCCAAAGGCGTGGTGAGCCAGGGGAAAAATAGATGATAGTTTTGACTCACACTCTCTTGTAATGAGGCTCTGGAAATCAATGGTGACGGTCACCCACATGGGCTGGCCGTCCTCCTCAGGCCGAAAGCCCCACACGCTGACGTTCATGGCCTTGGTGCCCGGCTCAGATGCCAGGCCCGCGAAGAAGAAGGGCTGCTCTGTGAAGTTATAGGACTTCCAGCATTGGCCCTCGTCTGTGGAGAACCTGGTGGCGAGAAATGGTAGCAGAAGTATGGTATTATTTGCAGCAATTTAGGTGCAAAGACGCTTTAAATAAAGGAAAACTCTGCCAAATAATACAAAAAACATCTGCTCAGTACTTGATAGTCTTGACTTGTCCTTCACGCTGGGCCTCCACAGCCACAATGAGAGCCCCAGAGTCCAATATGCTGTAGTGGTGAGGACCCCTCAGCGTCCCCCTCCAGTTATAACCCCCGTCTGAGGAGACGAACACATCTGGGCGCTGTGACGACGACAGAGAGTCACCCACAGTACCTGGAGAAGAGAGGAGATCATCTTTACGTTAGATTTAAGATGAGGGATTACAAGTTAAATACATTTATGGCAATATATGTGAATCAGAAAACGACTCAGAGATGTTTAAAGTTGCAAAAGGGTGCCGATATAGCTAAAGTTTGACATTATTTGTTCTTGCATTGAAAATACACATGGGTACATCGGTGTTTAATTACCATGGGCGATAACCAGACCAATAGCAGTTGGCTCAGACAGAGCCAGCATGGGAACGATGCGGTTGTTGCGACTGTGCTCTCCATGGATATGAAGGTTGCACTGATGAAAACACACACACATAATATTTTATTTTGACTAACATGTAGAATATAATGTTAATATGCAGACTGTGATCTTCTACATGCGACACACATTTGTGACTTGCTCTCCACAGTCCACATTTTTAGGTTTATTGAGTTGTCTCCATTTCCCTCCTCTGTTGAAGGAGATTACGGATCTTATGCGGCCATCTGCAACAAAACACATAGTTTAGGGAAAGTATTTTATCAGCGCTTAGATGGCATGACAGACAGGCTGGAAACCCTACCCTCATCTAGTTTGTTGGTGAGGTAGACTCCACGCAGTGAAGTTATGTTGGTGAAATCGCTCTTTCTCTGCCCATCGAACAGGTGACGCTCCAGTGATTTGGAGAATAAGATACCACGGTCATCTGACGTGTACATGGTCCCAAAGAAGGTGTCTGTGGTGAAACAGAAAGAAAGAAATAAAGAGAATTTTTAGTGTCTCACTGCAGTAAGACACATATTTACTCTTCTAATGCCAGAAGTTAAAGTTGCCTTTTACAGTAATGGAAATACAATGTTGAAAATGAATGTAAGGGAGTTCTTGCAGCCTATTTCAGGACCAAGTCGTCAGTATGATCATTGGTGGTGTCTTATTTGTCTTAGTTGCAAACCACAGTACTTCCTGGTTAAAAGAGAATGTTGTTCCTTGTGTTTCACTTTCTACTAAAACTGCTTTGTCTTTTTTTTTTTTTCTTCTCGTCATTGAAACATCAGCCGGTGCCACAATAAAAGTAAATTCAAAGGTTTTAGTCACCATCCACATAGTTTTCTTACCAAAACAAACCAAGCCACTGGCACAAGTAATGAAATGATGAGTAGTAATGTGTATCACCTTCAGCCACGCAATAACAACCAGTCATCATCAATCATATTCTAGCTGTGTGTCAGCTAAAGCCATGAAGGAC